AAAAATATACAAGTTAAAAGAAACTTAAAACTCTACATGTTTCGATGTAAATAATTACACCATCTTCATCCATCCATCCATAAATGTTTGTGCAAGTAAAAAATGTTGATCTTCGTTTTATTATATGATTTAACATCTTTGCACAAGAAGTGTCAGTTTTTACGTATTAACTATTTGTTTATTTTAAAGACACTGATTGATATCTCTTATATTCCAGTACGTTAAACAATTAAAAATTTAGAATGCAAAATTACTTTAATCCTGCCTATTGAACATGCCTTAAGTGTGTGTGTGACTAAACTAGTGCCTTTAATGGATATGGGAAAATAAAGTCAGGAAATCATGACAGAAAACTAAAAGGCAGTAAAAATGACTTTCTGCCTTAGAGGCATGTACTCAACTTGTTTGTTCATTGTATGGCAATGTAATGCAGGATTTAAGGTATGAAATATTCAAGAAAGCATTTCACTAATGTCAGACTTCCTCCGCCATCTGAGAAGTATATGAAAAAAAAATAAGTAATGAAATTTGAATAAAGTCAAATGGTTATAACATATGTAAAAAAAAAAAAATTAATAACATAATATTTAAAGGTTTCTTTCAATTTACCTATGATTTATTCAATTTACTGACAGTTTTCAAAGAAGTTATGCTCATTACTAGTAAAATCAACATATTTTCTCTTAATGCACTGACAGAAATAATTTACACCACATTTGGTGTTATATTTATCTATAAACCCAAATACTTCTAAGTCCATTATGTACTACTCTTGGTAAAAGAAATATCACGGGGAAATATGTCTTTTGTGGGATGTATAGTGAGTCTAGCATTAACTTTGATGACTGTTTGACGTCACAAAAGCTTAATCTGAGATTTCCACATCTTTTCATGCAGTCGCCACCAAGCATTACCTTTCAATTGCAGAAAGGAAAAAAGTCACTTACCAATGAATTAAGCACCATTAAAAATCTAACTTTAAGTATGGGTTTTGTGCAACTTAGATGTAAAATAAAGATTCTACAACCTTATTTTGTTATATGCTAGTGTACCTATAGCCCCAATAGTGGGTGTGGCATATTCAATAATTGCACCATTTCCACACCTTTCAACAGTCTTTTTTTTGTACACTTTAGGGGTACAGGTATTTCTTGGTATCAATGAAATTTTTCTCCCCCACCAGTTGTGCAAATTCAGTTTCTATATATATAAATATATACACCTTTCAAATTCTATACTACACTATGACTAGATTAATGTTAATCCAACTTAAATTCAACACTTAGAATAACTTCAGCTGTACATAAATTGATGGTTCTGTTCTGGTACAAAATGGCATGACTAGTAACAAAAGAACACCATTAAATATGTTTCAACAAGACAGAGGAGGAGTTTCCAAGCTCTGTTCCTCACAGGTTTTTAATATTCAATGGTATAGTTTAAAATAAAATTTTGTCCACAGTGTGAGAACAGCCAGAAATTAACTACTAGATTTAATAAACAAGTTGCTGCAACAAAGTATGAATTGAAAGCACTCTCAAAAGGGCTTAAAGGCTACAACTACAGTTTTGAAGAACATATAACACATATTGCATATTGAAAAGTACAATAAACCCTGATAAAACAAAACACATCTGACACATATATGTTATTGCTTTGAAACTGTAAAAGGTAATTTTTTTTTTCACCCTTTTCACCAAAACATCAGACATAAAAATTGAGAATCATGAGTTTATTGAGCTTAACTAAATATTTTATGGAGATGTGATTCAAATGTATATTAACTACTTTGCTATACTTTGGTCTAAGGCTTGTACTAAACTACAAAGCATTACCAAGTGTTATATCACAGAATTCCTACCTGCACACTGACACCTATTAATTTCTTGAAACAGGGCACCTACTATCATTTAAATGTTCTACTTATCTGTATATCTACATAATAAAGTGTGTGAATCAACTATTATTCATGATTCTTATTCATATGTATGTAACTACTGATGTGTTTATCCAAGGACCTATTCATATATATTAAACCGTAAACTGATTATCCAAGGAATTATATCTACTAGCATAAAATACCCATGCTCTGCTATGGGGTTCAAAAGCCCCTATATGATTCACAGAGGCCTCTGTATACTGATCAAAGTCCTCCATTATCCTCAACAACTTCTAGAACTACCCCAAAGGAGGGGGGGGGGGGGGGGGTCTGCACCTTAACACAAACCCTGTGAGGATGCCTATCCTTGGCAACCCACCACTTGTGCTATGTTGATTCAAGTAGCTTGTAACTGGGGTATGAACAGTTTCAAACATAGCGTCCAAAGAATCTC